TTATTATTAATCATCTGGACCTCTTTTTGCAGGTTTTGAATTGTTTCCAATGCTGTATCAATCTTGTTTGGTTGTTCTTGTAGTACTTTCCTGACTTCTTCCTTGTTTTCCTCCACCCCTTTTCGGAGCACTTGAATTTGTTCCATATCATTCTTCTGAATTCCTTCTCGGGCAAATCCAAAACGTGCTCTTCCTTTTCTGGGGAGCCTTTGTCTGTCTCTAGTGCAATTGTCTCAGTTACTCTTCTGTTTTTGGACATGTTTTGAGATCTTTTGTTGTGTTTTGAGATACTGTGTTATGTTTTAGATCTTTTGTTTCTCATTTCCAGTTGTTAATGTGGGTTTTTAAATGCTTAAATGGATGTTTGTTGTTAAGTTTACTGGGTGTCTCCTGGTCGGATATGATCAGGAGATAGGCTTCCCTTTTGCATGTAATGCTTAACAGCTGTTATTGGCTCTTGTCTCAATGGTGTAATATTAGGGCGTATGCTTGTAGCTTGGCTATATGGCCACAATTGCTGTCTCTTCTTGGGTTATGTAGGGAGAAAAATCTCTTACATCCAGGAAAAATGTGTGATCAAAAGGACCAAAAGCAGAAGCAATATAGAAGCAGAGACAAAAACCACCACTTTTAAACAAAAATAAAACTGTGGCCGACTGTCCAGATGCCTTGCTACTACGCAGGCAGTGTGTGCACCATAGAAGCCTCCAGCATTTTGTGGGGGTGTCCACTCACTCAGGCCCCTCCTCTAGTCACCAATGTGGAATTGTGCAGATACTGAGATGTTAATGGAAGAAAGATTGGAAGAAAAATTGTTCAGTTAGGTATCTGCATGTGCATGGAGCAATTCTCCAGATAGATGTGTCCTTTTATGTTGGGGCTTTACAGATTGTTCTATGGTTTGTCTGTCAGGCCTGATGGGGCCTGCTTTTTCTTGCTAGATAGGCCTGAGACACCAAGGCTGATATCATAAGCAGCTGCCAAGCTCTTTCTCTTTGTACCATGGTTAAACTGTAAGGTCAGTGCTAGACTTTTTTTGGGGTGGGGTGGGGGTGGGAGGTGCACACCCAATCAGCTGAAGGCGTCCGGGCTGGGCAATGAAGGAGCGACAGGGAAGAAGAGGAAAAAGTGTGTTGAATCCCCTGCACCTCCTTTTGCAAATGTCACTGCACCATTTTTAGCACTGGTTCCCTGTGCCAGTTTGCCTGTAGCCCCACCCTTTGAACTCTGCCCGGGCTGGGTAGCCACCACAGAGTTAGTCCCAATTTGAGTAATTCCTAACTTGCAGCATTTTCCTTTATATCGTGATTTTTTTTTTCACGTGCGTGTGCAGGAAACTGATGTCCTGGATCTTATGCTAGATCCAGAGCTCTGGTGGTGTTCCGTAAGCACAGCTTCTGTGGGTTTTCAATCCCTCCCCCATGAAGCCTTTCCTACCTGGCTGTCTCTGTCGCTGCCCAAACCAAAGTCCGGTATGTTCTTTTTGACAATGAATGCAACACCATTCCTCTTCAATTTGTCACTCCCAGCATAGTAAACCATGTGGTTGTCAGATTCAAAATGTCCAATACCAGTCCATTTCAGCTCACTTAATGCTTAAGATACTGATTATGCATTCATTTCTGACAATTTCCAATTTTCCTAGATTCATACATTTTGTGCTCCAATTATTAATCGATGTTTGTAGCTGTTTCTCTTCATTTTGAGTTGTGCCCCATCAGCAAATGAAGGTCCTGTGGGCTTTTCTCCCACGGGCTTTACTCCATTCATGTCATCCTGGTCAACTCTACTTTGAGGAGGCGGCTCTTCCCCAGTCGCATTCTGAGTGCCTTCCAACCTGAGGGGCTCATTTTCTGGACTGCTTTGACAGTGTTTGTTTTGCTATTCATACAGTTTTCAGCGACGACATTTTTGGAAGTAGTTTGTCACTCCTTCCTAGACTGGCTTCATCTGGAAGATCATCTGAAACCTGTCTACCATGGGTGACCCTCCTGGTATTTAAAATACTCTTGGCATAGCTTCCAGAATCACAGCAACTTGCAAGCCACCACAGTACAAAAAATTGACAGCTAAGTGGTGGCCCTTGCATATTACGCAAATAGTTGAATAAATGGAAAACTTGAAGTAAAAGTTAAACACTTAATCCCTTAAGTGTTTATACCTTACAGCGACTATACTTCACTTCAAGATTAGCTGCTGCAGTTAGATATAATCGACTTGCCTTTTTGGGTAAGGTTTTTGAATGTAATGAGTTACTTTTGATGTCTCTCTTTTAGAATGTGAGAAAGTAACAATGTGGAACTTTGCAAGCATATCACTGAAAGGGTCTGAAGTTAGTTGAATTGGTTGGTTAGGTAATGAGCACGCAGGTGCTATTCTCACTTAGAAAGGAAGGAGATGTGGTCTTGTGGTTAGTACGACAGATGGTAACTATGAGGCCCAAAATCTAATTTAGCCAGACTTCTGAATAGTGTGATTATGGAGGTACAGCACACACTAGGCTCACTTTCAATTGGTCAGTTTTTCTAGTCATCACCTAATGTCCTGGACACAATGGATAGCAATTTAATGAATTCAGGTTTTTGCCATACCCAACTATATCTTTATAACCCTCTCAACTAAAAACCCCAGTCAGCTGAGTTCTTAAGTCTACTAGTCACGTTTCCTGTTTTATGCTTCTGTATGTAAGACATTGCCATGTATTTTTCACATGTATGGCATTAGAATTTATATGGGTTAAAAATATTTAAAGATGGTAGGAAGATTAGCTTAGCAAAAGACTCAGCTAATTTTTTAGAATAATCAACTGAGAACAAAAGATGTGTGTGGGATGGAAGACATGAAGAGAAACAGGTGGCACAGGTCTGGAGTTAACCTTACCATATAGGACCATGGTAGTTGCCCCTCTTATGCCCAGTTAATGACTGTGTGTACCCAACAGGTCATTTCTGATAGCTGAGTCTTCAGATAGTTATAAAGTGAGCATCGCTTCCTTTTGTTTGAACTCAGAAAGAACCAGAGACCATACCTTGCATCAGATCTGTGCTGGTCACTCACATGTGTATAGTCTCCAAATAGGGAGATTGCCTATGGAATATTCAGTGACTTGCTTATTATCAGAGTCAGAAGACACTAGCAATTTTGGTAAACATCTTTATTGGATTCTGATGCAACATTATATTATGCTTTTATTTGATATCTTTACATATTTCCAAGCTAATCTTTTCTGGTTAGGACAGTGAAATGAACTGCATCCAAGAGGGGACTGTGTATGTTCCCTATATCCATCTCCCCAGTACATTTGATAGAGTAGAACTACTCATACTTAAAATTAAGTCCAATTTTTATTTTTTATTTTCAAAAGGCTAATTTTTCTCCATATCTCTACTATCAAAGTCAAGAATTACCCAACGGGTCTGTCAGTGAGGCTCCTGTGCCGCTGGAAGTCGGAAACTCCAATACTTCAGAGGAAGTAGATCAGAAGCCTAAACTCTGCAGGCTGGCTAGAGGTGAAAATGGCTATGGCTTTCATTTGAATGCCATTCGGAACCTGCCAGGCTCATTCGTCAAAGAGGTATAGTCATCTGGTCCCACCACCCGAATAGCACAGCCAATAGCATGGAAGCCACAATTAAGAGTCCTTTCTCCCATTCACTGATGGTTTAGTGAAAAGGTTGCTTTGAGGACTGGGCTATATTTGGTCTCACTTGGACCCATATTATTTTAGCTAGCTACTGGTGTATAAGTACTGGACTAAAGGGTACTAAAGGGTAAGTATAGCTATAGTAGTATTGCTGTTGTTGTTAAGTGCAGTTGAGTTGGTTCCAACCCATAGCGATCCTGTACAGGCTTTCCGAAGCTGTAAATCTTTGTTGTTGTTATGTGCCACGGCATTGGGTCTGACTCATAGCGACCCTGTACAGGGTTTCTGAGGCTGTAAATCTTTACGGGAGCAGAAAGCCTCATCTTTCTCCCGCAGAGCGGCAGCTGGTTGTTTCAAACTGCTGACCTTGTGGTGGTTCACAACCCAATTAATAACCACTACGCTACCAGAGCTCTAGTATAGATAAATACAGTAGTCCAGTACTTATCCTATATAAGTACAGGATAAGTACTAGACTACTAACTGCAAGATCAGAGGTTTAAACCCACCAGCAGCTCCTTGGAAACCCTATACACGGCCCTATGAGTCAGAACCAACTCCACGACACTTATACCAAGGTCACATTCTTGTTCCCCAAACATTTACTCTATTTCTCTAGATAGCACCAATCTGTTCGATTTGAAAATTCCAATTCTAAAAATATCAAATGTGACAAATGATTTCCATTTGGCATGGTGACCCCTACTCTGTAGGAACTGACAAGAGAATAGAGAGATGTTCAAGTTGGGAGGGGAAAAAATGAGGAGGAAAGGCCTTTCTCTCTGTTTGCAATTAACTTGGAAACTCTGTTCCCAGGTACAAAAGGGCAGTCCTGCTGCTCTGGCAGGGCTGGAAGATGAAGATATCATCATTGAAGTGAACGGGGTGAATGTGCAGGAGGAACCCTATGAGAAAGTGGTAGACAGAATCCAGCGCAGTGGGAACAATGTCCTACTCCTCGTCTGTGGAAAGACGGCCTATGATTATTTCCAGGCAAAGAAAATCCCTGTTGTTTCTTCCATGGCTGATCCACTGGATGTACCTCCTGATTCCAAAGAAGAAACAATGGCAGAGACAGAGCTTGACTCTTACCCAATAAAAGAACGAGTAAGCAATTGATATTATTCTTTCTTTTAGTGATTGGATTTAACAGTGTATGGTAAAGTCCTGAATAAGTATGCCCTCAGGGCTGTTGATCAGATTTCCTAAATATTTGACAGTTATCTTTCACCTCAGAGTAATCTATCAACTCCTTGCTCTGAAAAGAAATGTGTTGCCCTTAACATCCTGGTGTGGTGATGTGGGTTAATGCACTGGACTTCTAAGTCAGTTTGATTCACAAGGTTGGCAATTCAAACTTACCAACCGCTCCTTGGAAACTCTATACAGGGTCGCTATGGGTCGGAACTGAGTCAATAGTACTTAACATTATGTAGCGTTTTGATGAGTCAAAATGGATCAAAATTATAATGAGTACCACCAGGAGAACCTGAATTGGTCAATTTAGGTACCAATTTCTGCCACGTACTAGACTTAAGCACAAACTCATTTGCCCATTTCCCCATCTATAAAACATGAAAATGAATGGTGGTGGTTAAACACAAACACATATACACATGATGGAGTTGGTTCCGACTCATAGTGATCCTGCACAGGGTTTCTGAGGCTGTGAATCTTTATGGGACGGGAACAGAACGCCTCATCTTTCTCCCGCAGAACCGCTGTAGTTTCGAACTGCCGACCTTGAGGTTAGCAGCCCGATTCATAACCACTACGCTACCAGAGTGTGTGTGTGTGTATATGTATATATGTGTATATATTGTCAGTGCCGACTCGATGGCACCTAACAACAACAAATACGTTCTGTAATACCTCTATGGGAGGTAAGTTACAGTATTACACAAGTTCTAGAGAAAAACACCACGTAGCAGTATGAAATTTGTTAATGTGGCAGATAGTGATTTGGAATAGAATTTGTCATTTGGCTTCCAGTGTCACTGCTCCCTAACTTAACCACGCAGCTCCCCATTACTCGCCTTCTGTGTATACAAGCTATCACTCATATAATTCCTTGTTTCTGTTTTGGACAGGCCCACAGTACAGCCTCTCATTCTTCTTCCAACTCTGAAGATACAGCCATGTGATAACACATTTTTAAGGAATAAATTGCCACCTGCTTCCTGCCTGTTGGAGAACTCCTCTGGAAACCAGTTTCTTGTGTGATTATCTTCTGTTATTTGTTTTAGGGGTAACTATTGCAGATTAAGGAGCCATTTTATGTATGTGTGTCTTTCAAGCTTCAATGTAATTTACATTCCTTTAAGCTTCAATGTAATTTACATTCCTTGGTATGACACCTCACTGCTATAGGCTCCTTTAGTACCAAAGATGATTCGTAAATCTGTAAATGTGAGAGAGCTGCTAATTAGTCTCTGAGCAGATAAGATTATGTTATGACTTTTGCCTGTATGTAAACCTTCTGATATGACCTTAATAGTGTTTGATTTTGGTATACTTTTAATGCTTTAACCTTCATTTGTTCTAATGCCTTTCAAACCCCAAACAAAATACAGATGAAACTTTAGTAATAAAAGATTTCCTAGTAAGTCATAATTTTCTTAAATGGCATTTGAGTGTTATACAGATTTTCTATTACTTTCTTAGAGATGAAGAAAATGAATTTTGGAATAGCATTTGACTTGACTTAGTTTAAGTTAGTCAGGAAGGTGGAAAAGAAAAAAACAAGGCATTGTCACTGAGTTGAATGTAGGATAGTCACTCTTCACTAATTAAATGACATCTTTGCCTCTTTCAGCAGACTTGCAGGTGCACACCTCCTCCAGAAAAGAACACAACTTCTTGGCATGCCACTCTGCTTTCCCTGCACCATTCAAATAACCAACTCCTTCTTCCATTATATATAAGCACAGCACATGCTGCACTACCTTTGGTAAAACGAACCTACAGATCAGAAAGAAAAGGTCAGCGTTATGATCTGATTTTAATGATAATCTTAAGGGAAAGTCATGACCATCTCTCCACTTGAATCTTGACTTAGATGTCTCCTTTCCCAGAGTTCCAGTGTATCTATTTTTTTTTTTGCTTTTTTTTTTTTTTTTTTGCCTCTTTTCACAGCCCTACCTCCCTGACCCTGTGATTACACAGCTGCTCTGTGCTGAGTGCTGGCTTGAATTAGGTGATGCAACTCATCACAGTAAGAGGAAGATGAAGGCTAGAGGCACAATCAATATGCTACTACCACAACCATTTTCTTAGTCGTTCCCCCATTTTTTCTTCTCTAACACCACTGGCTTTTCAGCAGTCTGTGATAGGCATGAGTTCAAGGGGTCATGTGCTTCTCTGGTGCCTGTTTATGAGCCAAATAGAGGAAAAGTATGCTGGAAAGGGCGCTGACCAGGAAGATCACATCAAACCAACGGTGATAGAAGTTGAACTGTAGTTCTCCAAGAACTTCAGTGATTATGGTGCGGTACTCGAGAGGCATGCTCATCCGGATCAGCAGTACAGAGGAGACAAAGTACATGCCCTGTAAATCAGATTAATCCAGAGATCACTTTGGAACCAAGGACAGCACAGGGAATCATTAAAATACTGAAAAGGATGAAACACTGCTGGTACTTTGTTGCAGTAGACATATAGCTAGTTCATGAAGCTTACCATTATTTGTGCTAATAGCAGGACAATGACATTGGAAGATTTACTGCTGGAGATGGCATAAAAGAACTGTCAAGAAAAGGAGAAATATATGCATTACTTCTAAGTTCCTGACGTGAGCAAAAGGTGACAACATAATTGAGAATATCTCTTCTATGCCACAATCTATATAGAACAACGCTCATGATTAAGGCTATAAAGAAATCTAAATGGACTACATTAAAGGAATTCAATTATGCAGGGAATCGGTTTTATGCATAATGTAATAATAAGTTTCTGCATAATGCAATAATAACAAAAGTTTCTGCAAGTTGGATAGGAATCATGCGATGCATGACTTTTTGCATCACAATAAAACATTAAAATAGATGAATGATTCTAGATTCCTTTAATTGTTACCAGCTCCTGAACATTTCCCAACAAAGAAAAAAAAGCCAAAAACAAAACCATGAGTTATATCAAAGGTGCAACAGAAACATCTTGAAACTCCTCAAGCAACTTTGAAGGCAAGAAGCCAAAAATGCACATTAGTCTTACCCATATATTTTAGTGTCCAGTCTTTTTTTTTTTTTTAGGTCCCCCTTGCCTTACCTAGCAAAACAGCCAAGCTATAATCACACCCTATAAAACCCCACCATCTAGTCAAGAACCAATACTAGCTGCTATGCACCAAAACAGCATAAAAAACCAACACCTACTATAATCACACTGAGTTTAGTAAAAGAGAAACCAATCTGACCATTTACCAGGAGGCAATCAGAGTTTAATAATACATAAACATAATAATACATAAACATAATAATACACAAACATAATAATACACAAACATAACATTCATCTAATTGTTGAAAATACAACAGGCAAGCATAAGCATTCAAGGAGCTGAACAAACCCTAGGAAGGATAGACCCCAAAAGAAAATCACCAAGACATATAATCTTAAATCTCCTCTTAAATAAAAGACAAGGATAGAATCCTGAAAGCAGCTAGGGAAAAGAGAAGTGTTAACCCACAGAGGCAAGCCAAGCCAGTAAGATTAAGTTCTGATCTCTCAGCAGAAACCATGCAGGCAAGAAGGTAATGGGGAGACACATACAAAACTAACAACCAAGAATGGTTTACCCAGCAAAGTTGTCAATTAAATATGAAGGGTGTAATCAAAACATTCCAGGATAAACAGAAGTTAAGGGACTTTTTGTAAAAGCCATGCCAGCACTTCAAAACATCCTAAAGGGAGTTCTTTGGACTAAGAACCGACAACCAGAGACTGATATATGTGAAAACACCATCCAGAACTCACTCGAGAGATGGAAGAGTCCAGAGCTAAACAAAACTATAGTAATGATAGCAGGATCTGGGAGGTCAGTTTATGATCAAAACAACCACCATGCGAAAGAAGGGAAAAAATATAGGAACAGAGATGCAATAAAAGTAAGTATGTTACATTATACCTTGGTGAGAGTGATCAGCAATCCTCTGATGGATGTGACAATGATAATTCCAACCAGAATGAAGGAAATGTGTTGGGACCAAAACTTTACCTGCCAACATGATAGGAAGACAAATTATTTGTTGAAACCTTTTAGAGAGATGTAAATATTAAAATACATTCTGGTCACTTATGTGATTAGGAACAGGAACTTTTCTGTTGTTAAGTCATCCATGAACTCATTAAGCCCTAGCTTATTTTTTTTAGGAAGGGAGGGAAGCAAGTAAATGTTGACTAAAACACGTATATGAAAACTGTAGCACATATCTTGATTATCCGACTCCAAGCAAGTCTCAAGGACAGAAGACAAGTGCAGGACAGAAGACAAGTGCAGTGATGTGATGAAAATAATACTAATAAATCAGAAGAAACACAGAAAGTAATGGTATGCCTTCATGCGATAAAGGGAAAGTAGAATTAAAAAGAAACAAACTCAGTAGTTCTGGTGTGGTGCTGTAGGATAAGCACTGGACTGCTAACGGCAAGGTTGGAGGTTCAAACCCACTAGCTGTTCCTTGGAAACCCTGTACAGGGTTGCTGTAGTTGGAACTGACTTGATGGCACTTATCATCTCAATACTAGCTTATTTTTAATATCTCTGAATGACTGTCCTCAGACTATCTAAAACTTTACGAACCTTTTCTTCTTATAATAAAAAGAACAAAATAAATTGTCTCAGTAAGAAAGATACAATGCTTCTTTTTAAATTAAAAGGCTACACCATTGGTCTACCATCAGAAAGCATGCACTTTGAGCAGTTTCTCAAGGACTGGAGCTAAATTTGCTCTCATTCCTTTTGTTGTATCCAGTCACTGTCAGGACCAGGAGTGTGTCCTACTGAGATGGATGGTGGGCTAGCATGTATGTGGCTGGGACCATAGCACAGCTAAATGGCTCACAGAAATAACATGATATTGGTCTTATTAGTAAAGTGTTAATCAACCAGAATCATTGTCATTCATGAGAGTAAGTCAAAAAGTATTGCTACCGCTTAAGGGAAATAAGACCCAATATATCCAGACTACACTCCCAGCTAAGGTTACTCAAGGTATAAGTAGATTTGTGTTATCTTTCAGTAACCCAGAAATTAATTGGAACTTAATCCAACAGCATTTTAGGAGGTTGTGGAACAATATACACTTGTCTGGGGATATTCATCAGCTACACGCTCAATTTTATGATATAAGTAATTCTCAAAGTGAACACTGCGTGGCTACCCATTTGCTACCCATGCTAGAGAATAAGATCCCCGAGGAACTGGATTGAACCTCAGCATAGTGATCCTGCTTGGTCACCTTAGAGCAGGTGGTGGGCCCGCAACGTCGGGCGCATGGGGTCCCCAGCTGATCTCCTCCCTCCCTGCCTTCCTCGGATGGCAGCTGTTTATGCTGGACGTGTGGCCAGAGACGGGTAAGGATCACGTGGAACCTCGGCTACTTGGGACAGAGACATTGCCATGCTGCAATGAGTTTCAATGACTGGTAAGACTGAGGAATTCGCACTGACCACCTAAGACAGGCAGCGTCCCTTAAACAATCAATAAAAAAGGAGGACTCAGATGCAGACAGCACAGACCCGGTCAGGAGGCCAAGCCCCGGTAGGCCCAAGCGTTGTTGACCGTCCAAACCATAGGCTCTGAGGATCAGACTCTAGCCACCTAGTAGACATAACAAACTGTCCCTCATCTGATTATTCAGTAATGCTTGTTAGTAATCTCATACATGAGCCCTGGATATCCACAGACAAATGTAAAAACCTCCCCTAAAAGCCGAGACTGTAAATTCCAATAAGCCAAGTCCCCCCCCATCCAAAAAAAAAAAAAAGCTAAAGAGGATAGAGAGAAACACTAAACTGATGATATATAGCGGGGATAATAATCAATGTAATGAAACAAGCTATATGAATGGTTGAATGTGAAACTGATGATGTGCCCTGTAAACTTTCACTCAATGCAAAATAAAAACATTTAATTAAAAAAAAAAAAAAAAAAAAGTATTGCTAGTGGGTTCCATTTTACACATAAAACCAGAAACCAAACCCACTGCCAAGTCTAACTTACAGGATTTCTAAGACTGTAAATTGATGTATGATTTCTGAGACTGCAAATTGTTATGGAAATATACAACCTTACTTTTTCCCACGGAGTGGGACCTGACCCTGTAGCTAGTAGCTCAATATCTAACCTACAGCGCTACAAAGTTTTGGATTTATTTCAAACAAAACATTAAAGTTCTCCCACTAATATACTTGTCTTAGTTATTAAGGTGCCTTGTAAAAAAGGTGGCTTCAGCTCTGCTGGGCCAGTTAAATTCAAGGCGAAGAGGTCAGCTCAGAAGGTTTTAGCGACTATTTTTCCCACCCACCCTATAGCCCTGATCTTGCCCCGGCAGATTTCTTTTTGTTCCCCAAACTCAAAGAACACGATCGAGTCCCTCAAAGATGCCAAAACTGTCATTTTGATGACTTAAGTTGTTTAAATCTAAGTATGTAGAATTCTTTTGGGGAAGGGTTGTTGTTAAGTCCCACTGAGTCAGTTCTGACCCACAGCGACATTGTATAGGGTTTCTGAGGAGCGGCTGGTGAGCTTGAACTGCTGACCTGTGGTTCAAAGTGACTCTGCAGCCCAGTGACTAAACCTGCACCACCACACCAGGGCTCCTGGGTTGGGGAGATATATACAATGCCTTCAGAGATGTACAGACTAGATTGAGAATATGTCAAGAAATAATAGCTTCACATTGATATATTTTAATAAAGGTGTCTATGATTTTATAGTAATACTTTTTGACTTACCTTGTATCTGAGAATATACTATTCTATGAACAAAGTTATTGAACTTATTGAGACAAAGGTATATTCAATGACAGGTATTTGCCGTTTTTTTTTTGGTGATAAAAATGAGTTAAAAAAACAAAACAAAACTTTGTGCATAGGTGATACTACCTTTAACTCAAGTTCACATATAATTACTACTTAATTCATAAAGATTATTTTTTTGTAGTAGAAACGATTTTAGCTCTAACATGGAACATTAATTAGTAGTTAATTTTCTACCAGAGGAACTGAAGGTAAGCTGTGGGTCTGAAGATTTCAAGTGCCACAGAGAGAGTATCTGAGCACGTGGTGAGAAGGAAGTGGTAAAGTAGCAGCTGTCTGCTGAGAAGTAGAGGAAAAACTGTAAAAACAATCAGCATCCGCGACAATAATAAGCTTTAGGTTGCCATGTCAATGTATCAAAACATACAGAATAGAGTTGGAAGAACAAAAGCAGAATCAAGTACCTAAAGCAAAGGAATTAGAACATTAACGATTTATAGAAAGTATTAAGGCAACATAACAAACCAGGATTTTGATATAGCTCTTACATCAAACTGGATTCCCAAATAATTCACAGTGATCTCAATGCCTCTTGTGACAGGATCAGTTTTTCCAACTCGATCAAAAACGATATTGATGGTTGCCTGCAGAGACACACATCTTTACATTAGAGCAACTTAATCACTACCGAATTAATCATCTCAATACATTTTACAGGAGGATGGTCTTAAAAAATATAATTTTACTCTCAATCCTAATCATATGAAAATCTATTTTCGCTATTCATACACAGGCAAACAAAGTTCCCATTTACCCTATTCTCCTTTTCTGAAAAGAGTTAAGGGGAATACATTTTTCAGGAGCCAGTAAGGTAGGTAGATGATAGATGAAGTCAGAATAAGAGAAAAAGAAATTCTAGAGCCCTATGAGCTCTGGTAGCATAGTGCTTATGAATCGGGCTGCTAATCTCATGGTCAGCAGTTGAAAACTACCAACTGTTCCACGGGAGAAAAATGAGGCTTTCTGCTTCCGTAAAGATTTATAGCCTCGGAAACCCTGTACAGGGTCACTGTAAGTCGGAAGTGACTCACGGCACATAACAAGAACTTTATAAAAGTAATTCTACAACTAATAAGGGAGTTTATAAAAGTTGCAGGATACAAGCTCAATATTCAAAAATCGATGATCTATCTACTGTTGTTAAGTGCTACTGAGTTGGTTCTGACTCACAGCAACCCTCTATAAAGGTTTCCAGAGAGCAGCTGATGGGTTTGAAATACTGACCTCTTGGCTAGCAGTCTAGTGCTTATCCTAAAGTGCCACACCAGGGCTCTATGTACTAGCACGAATCATTAAACTGTAATCATAACTCTTATTTATAGCAACAAAAATAGGAAACACTACTTAACTCTGACAAGAGATGTGAAAGCCCTGTATACCAAAAACTACAACACATTGCTAGGAGAAAGAAAAGAAGAGCTACATAAATGGATTTGCACTGTGCTCAGGGGTTGGGTGACACAATATTGTTAAGATACCACTTTTCAAATTGATCTACAGATTCAATGGAACCAATACAGACTCCAGGGGACTTTTTATAGGAATTGAGAAATTGATTCAAAAATACATTCAAAAATGCAAAGGACATAAGACTACCCAAAACAAGTTTGAAATAGGAAGAAAGTTGGAGACTGTACACTCCCTGAGCTCTGGTAGCATAATGGTTAAGAGTTGAGCTGCTAATCTCACGGTTAGCAGTTTAAAACTACAGCGGTTCCGTGGGAGAAAGATGAGGCTTTCTGCTCCCATAAAGATTTGCAGCCTTGGAAACCCTATACAGGGTCGCTATGAGTCAGAACCGACTCCACGGCACATAACCACCACCACCATATAAGCTACATTGATCAAGACAGTGTAGTACTGGCATAAATAAAGGCAAGTACATGAATACAGAAGAATAGAGGCCAGAAACAGAGCCACACATATATAGTCAATTCATTTTGATAAAACTGCAAGGCAATTCAGTGCAGAAAGGATCATCTCAACAAATGGTGCTAGAAAAATTGGGTATCCATATGCAAAAGAAAGGAGCTCTGGTAGTGTAGTGGTTACATATTGGCCTGCTAAGTTCAGGGTCAGCAGTTTGAAACTACCAGCTGTTCCGCGGGAGAAAGATGAGGCTTTCTGCTCCCGTAAAGATTTACAGCCTCGGAAACCGTTTCCGGAACCGACTCCACGGCACATAACCACCAACCACCATATGCAAAGGAGGATCGATGGCGGTGCAGAGGTTAAAGTACTTGACTATGGATTAAAAGGTCGGCAGTTCAAACTGATGAGCTGCTCTGCAGGACAAAGCTGTGGCAGTCTGCTAACATAAAGAGTCACAGTCTTGGAAACCCTGTGGGCAGTTATACTGTGTCTTCAAGGGTAGCTATATGAGTCAGAATCAACTCAACAGAGGTTTGATTATATGTGCAAAAAACTAAACACAGAGAACACAAACACCACAATAAGAAATGAACTCAAATGGTTCACAGACTGAATTGTGAATGAAAACTACAAAACTTCTAGAAAAAACATATTTAAAAAAATCTTTGTGACTTTGGGTTAGGAAAAGATGCCATAGCATAAACTATAAAAGAAAAAAGATGAATTGTACTTTATCAAAATTAGGAACTTCTATTCTTTGATCAATATTGCTAAGAGAATGAAAACCCAAGCCACGGACCAGGAGAAATACTTGAAAGTCATATATTTGCTAAGAGGTTTCCAGAATATTAAAAGCCGCGCCCCCCAAACCCAGTAAAAAAGAAAACAACCTAATTAAAAGATTGGTACAAGATCTGAATAGATACTTCACCAAATACATGCTGCTATTATTGTTAAGTGCCATCGAGTCAGTTCCAACTCATAGTCACCCAAGGATAGACAGGGGGTAAAAAAAAACAAAAACAAAAACAAACACACAAAAAGACACTCAACACCACTAAATGTTGTTGTTAAGTGCCTTTGAGTCGGTTCCGACTCTTAGTGACCCTGTATAGGGGTTTAGAGGCTATCAATATTTACGGGAGCAGAAAGCCTCATCTTTCTCCCATGGAGTGGTTAGTGGGCTTGAACCATTTGGTCCTGTGGTTAGCAGTCCAATGTTTATCCAATAGCACCATCAGTGCTCACTGTAATACCTACTGCTGTTATTGTTAAATGCTGTTGAGTTGGTTTTGATTCATAGCAACTCTGTATAGGGTTACCAAGTTGTGGCTGGTGGGTTTGAACTGCCAACCTTGTAGTTAGCAGTCCAGTGTTGACCTAACAGCACAATGCCAAGATTCCCCAGTACATAGTAGAATGCTTAAAATTAAAACATTCAACAAGATAAGTGTTGGTGAAGATATGGAGTAACAGAAACTCATACTGCAGGTGTGTATATGGGAATGTGAAATGGTTACAGTCTCTATGGAAGAGTTGATTCTTCAAAAGTCAAGCTTACTCCTATCATAGGACCAGTCAGTCATCTCACTTGTAAGTGCTTACCCAAGACAGAATACAACATATGTCCACACTCAGATGTGTACACAAGTGTTCACAGCAGCTTTACTATAGTATTCCAAAACTGGAAGCAACCCAAATGTTCATCAACCAGTGAATGGATAAATTAATTTTGATACATCCATACAATGGAATAAGGAGCTCTGGTAGTGTAGTGGTTACGAATCTGGCTGTGAACCTCAGGGTAAGCAGTTCGAAACTACCAGCTGTTTCACAGGAGAAAGATGAGGCTTTCTGCTCCCGTAAAGATTTACAGCCTCAGAAACCCTGTACAGGGTTGCTATGAGTTGGAACAGAGTCCACGGCACATAACAACAACAATACAATGGAATACTACTCAGTGATAAAAATGAATAAACTACTGATTCACACAGTAACATGGATGAAACTCAAAATAATTATGCTGAGTGCAAGAAGCCAGGAAAAAAGTATATACTATGATTGATTCCATTAATATAAAATTCTTCCAGAAAATAGCAACTACTAATGTACAATGATCATCATAATGTGTATCAGTGATTGCCTGGGAATGAAGGGTGCAAGAGGGCATTTGGAAGTGATGGATGGCTCACTTCCAAATGAGCTCCACAAAAGGGCATTTGGAAGTGATGGATGGCTCACTATCTTGACTGTGATGATGTTGTTGCACAAGTATACACACACACACACACACACACACACACACGTGTGCAGTGCAGTGAATTACTGCATAGGGCTCTTCTACCCATAGTCTTTGAACTCCCTCCAAACAAACTTTTTTTTTCCTGATAGGTCTGGGTAAGATAAGGTAGGAGAAGACACTGATAGGATGGTATGGTTCCAGTTGTGATGACTATTAATAGGATTAACTAATGAGGGAATTGGTCAGTTTTGTCATCCTGCTGGGTTTAAATCTAGCCGTCTCAGAAGCATTAAGAGCGATCTCACAAGGAAGAATATCCAGGAGTGAAGTGTGTCCTTTGGACTCAGATCCCTGTACACTGAACCTCAACTCAGGGACAGAACTCTGTGACACTGGAGAAGTGGCACAAAGAGTAGCAGAGGAACAGCATTAGCAGAACCAAGAGCCAGAGGACCAGGCCAAGGGGAGGGCTTTCCAGCCCATGGAGCAAGTAAAGAAAGCTGAGTGCCTCTGGACAGGAGGTTCATTTGTGGAGTGGGGTGCTTCCAGGCACTTAAGGGTGCTGGGTTTGCTGACCCATAGAGCTGAGAACCTTTGGGCTGGGATGGAGTGTCCTTTAGTCATTTGTCAACAGTATTAAAAGAGCTCTGAAACATTGCTGGAGCAGGGCAGAGGCCAAGGAAATGAGGGCTGAAAGGCTAAGGACCAGAGAGAAGCCTGCCTGTGGGCAGAAGAGAGGCTGTCTTGAGTGGAAGAACTGTGTCCTAAGCATTTCTGACCCTTTACTGCAAACTGTTAACTTCCCTAGTAAACCCCCTAACTGTGAGTATGGTGTCTGAGCTCTGTGTGGCCACTTCACCGAATGATTGTATCCAGCTCAGAAGAGAGTGCGGTGGGAGGGATGGCTGGTGCTAGATTTGGTAGAGAAGGCATGGCTGACCTCGGCCTCATACAGACAGTCCTTGGTTTGATGCTGACAGTGATTCTCCTCCTCCCACCTGGTGAAGTCATAGGCAGGCAGACGCTGGCTCCCAAGTCCATTTCTTTCAATGTGTCCAAACTTACCAAATCATACACTTTCCTAAAGACTGAATCTCAGGAAACAATCTGAGTAGCGAGGTTGGCAGAACTCACTATTTTCATTCATGCTCTCCCACTGGATGAGCCAAGATGTTATTAAAATGTCATCTGAGTGGTTCTGTCATTGATTTGCTACATGACAGATTCATTAAATTCAAAATTTTTCATTCATATACACTGATCAAAATCAACTACCAAGCTGACTAAGCTCCTTTTCTGCGCATACACAGCCTGAGAAGAAAAGTTAACCAGACCAGAAGGTCAAACCAGTCTTTTCGATAGTCACTGAAATCCACTGATACCGGCAGATGACACAGGAATAAAGACAAATTGCTGCTGTTGTTGTTAAGGGCCGTTGAGTTGGTGCCAACTCATAGCGACACCATAAAGGGTTTTGGAGGAACAGCTGGTGGGTTTGAACCACCGGTTAGTAGTTCAGTGCTTATCCTATAGCACCACACTAGGCCTCTGAATTTTTAGGTAGCTAGGTTATTCAAAAGGTAAAGTAGTTTCTGCTCTCAGCTGCAGTGGGAGTTGAGGAGTTGAGTCATGTACTCATGGATGATACGGAAAGCAGAGTATAAAATCAGCTTTTACATTCATTTCATCCAGTTCACAGACTAAGACCTAATAAATGATTTCTGACAGAGGGAAAAGGCAACCTCCCTTTTCTAGGTCATCTGAAAGAGTAACGCTCAGATACATGAAAGGTCATATTACCTATTGACTCAATCGGATCTAGAATTTAGTTCGATGTATCAATAAACTCACTCTTCTATCTCTGGCAAGACTAGGAAAAATCATCCAAATGCTGACAGTCAGAAAAATACACTTACCATGAAAATTTTCCAAACACAGTAAATAGAGAAAAAGTAACCGAGAAAATTAAAGTATTTGCCCTTGAAAGTTTTGGAGTATTCTATTCTCTCCTGAGGGAAAACAAACACAAAACAGGGTTGGTTTCATCAAAATATAAATTTATATGCAGTGAAAATATTTCTGCCTCTTAAGACTCACTCTTTGGGCTGATATTGTGAGTCAAAAAACCCACTTATGCTAATTAAAACAATACCAAAAAAAATATTAAACAGTAGTAATAGTAATCAACATTTTTTTAAGGTTTCTTTAAGCCAGAAACTAGGATAAACACCTCATAGGCATTATCTACTTTTTAATAACCGTTACAAAATACGTTTTATTATCTTAATTTTATAGATGAGAAAACTGAGGGTTTGAGAGATTAAATCATGTGCCCACTGTCACACAGCTAACGAGCAGGGGATGTAGGCTTCCATCTATCTGACCCCAAAGTCTATGCTGCTAATCCTGCCTATACTGACACCTGTATGATGCTAACATCAAAAAATGTTAAATACTTCACAACCATAACCAGTACATTTGCATATTTAAATTATATTGAATTTTAGTGTAAACATAAGTTACTTTCATCAGTTTGGTTATTTCTTAATTTGGATTCTTTAAAATGGGGCTATACTAGGGGTGGGGAACTTTTTTTCTGCCAAGAGTCATTTGGGTATTTATAACCTGGTGTGGCACTGTGGGTTAATGTGCTGGACTGCAAAGTTGGTTTGAACTACAAGGTTGCTGGTTCAAGACCACCAGTCACTCCTTGGAAACCCTACATAGGGTTACTACGACTCAGAATCGATTCAACCAACACTTTAACAACAACATTCATGGGCCATAATTATCAACTTAAAAATGAGCCTGCTATATTTGGTCAAACATCTAATTAACTCACTCCTGTGATGCCTGGGAGTCCTGGTGTGGCACTGTGGGTTAATGAGACAGACTGCAAAGCTGTTTAAACTGCAAGGTAGGCAGTTCAAGCTTACCAGATGCTCCTCGAAAACCCTAAACAAGGGTCGCTATGGGTCGGAACCGACTTGACAGCATTTCACAACAACAACGTGATGCTTGAAACTGTGGCTGCCTTGGCAGGGCCAGACCAAATGATTTGCGGGCCTTATATGGCCAGTAGGCGGGACGTTCTCCACTGCTGGGCTAGACCATGGCAGTTGGGTGTCTATTGCTCTTATAATTATACAATTCCAAATCTGTTTGGGAATATAAAAAAGATTCAGAGGAGCCACCAGCTTGAATGAGTAGGCAATGGTGTGTGCCACCTATCTTTCTAGATGTTAAAAACCTCAACTCTCACTTTCTATTTTTAAGGGTGTTTCACTAAAGATTTTGTGAGTAGTTGAAGCAATGTCATAAAGTGTGCAAGCCTCCCAACCCTTATGCCTCCTGGCTGATATCGAGGATGAGCTAAACCCAATCTCTTAAATTGCTTGGACACTTGTTGTTGTTGTTAAGCGCTGTTGAGTCGGTTCCGACCCATAGTGACCCTGTATAGGGTTTCTAATGAGTGGCTGGTAAGCTTGACCCGCCGATCTTGCGGTTCAAACCTACTTTGTAGTCCAGTGCATTAACCCACAGCGCCACAGCAGGACTCCTAAGAGGCCATTAAAAAGCTGTTTAGTCTTGTTCATTCTCAACATGTTGGTAAAAATCACATTGCAGTTTCCTTGTTCTGTACCTTGGTACCATATAGATCAACTGTTTCCAGAAAGAGCTGTCTGCTTAGTTCTTCCAAAGCATCCACTTCTTGTTGAATGAGAGTAAGATCTGGCACAGATGGGCATCAAGGTTTAAATCACATGAACATTTCAAGAAATAGCCACGAAGAAAGCATATGTTTTTGTTTTCGCCTATAGAGGATCCCAGAGACTGCCTATATTTCCAATTCTTTTAATTCCACTTTTTCATGAACTTTCTGAAGCCCCCTCATACATCTTCTCATCCTCCAATGAAGCAAAATGGAATTTTATTTTTCTAAGCTGGGAAGTAAGCAGGAGTATGTCATTCCATGTGCAGTTTTGATCTAATAGCCTGGTGTCACATAGAGATTTGGTGACCCAATTTTGGAATCAGTTTAAATAATGTAACTAGTGGGGCCAAGAATAATCCATTAACCCAATCACTGTGATTTTTTTAAACCAAAAAGTCACTGCAGAAGCAGAGCTGATTGTTTAGAAAAGGGTCCTTACCATCCCATACACAAACTACCCACTTTAGGGAGCCATTATGCTTTTTTTCCAGAGTGGGCTAATGTAATAGTTTAGTGGAAAGAACGATGAAGATGAGATCATAGTTCGGGCCCTCACTTTGCCACAAACCACAGTGCCACAAACCTCTCTGGGACTATCTTCTCATCTGTAAAATGGAAAGATTGACTTTCCATTTTGGACCCCTTCAGATCAAAGCCCATGCTGTTATGATTGTAGGTGGGTGTGGGAAAGATGACTTTGTACAGAGAGCACAGTGCATTTCCTAAGACTCACCCTGGTCAGCTTAGACTCTGAGGCAGTCAGGTACCCTAAAAGTGCCTATCCCAATAATCTCCTTTTCTTCTGCCCATGGCCCAGAGTTGAGAAAAAGAATAATCAAGCAGAAGTATAAAGGATATTTTCACTTCCTGGAGCCGAAGAGGCAACACTCTTTATCATTCCCCAGAATCCTGATGGCTTGTTATGCACCTCCCCTTTCTGGAACATAGTTCTCCGTGCCATGGCCATCCTGAAACGAAAGAAAACATGAAGCCTCAGCAAGAAAACATGGGCCCTCACAGTCCAGTGTCATCTAGTTGCCATGGCCACAGCTGCCTTTCCAAAGTGCTCCGCTGTTTAGAGCTGGATGTTGACTTTGGTGCTCCATTTTCCCACAATTGACAACTGAGAGGAAACCACGCAGTCCCAGGGAAAACTGGGCCTAGGTGAAGGAGCACAGGGTTTGGAGTACAAATCTGAGGACGAGCACTGCTGCTGAGAAGCTGTGAGACTTCAGTTACACTGCACAGTTTTCATTTCCTCATCTCTGGGTGGTTGTGAAGATCAATGAGATGATAAATAAGAACTTGTGTTATCATCTACAAAGTATATATATATATACTAATAATTATTTTAATTCTCATTTGAGGACAAAATAAAAAACAATTTCTTATTTTTAAGCTATCACAACTAGCTAAAAAGAGCAGGTACATAGTAGGAACTCAATAAATGTTTCCTTCTTTACACCTTTTAAAAGCAAAACCACATAAACCTGGCCTCCTGACCTGTCACCCACTGTGACCAGTCCCATTACTACATAAATCAACAGGAACCAACCACTCTTCCCTCTTGTTCTTTCATTTATGTTCTAGCTCACCACATATGCATCAGGAACAGAGTCATTGTAAGGAAACTAAGATACTTAGTGTGTTAAAGATTATTTGCGGAATCCTGTTGGTGTAGTGAATTAAGCACTGGGCTGCAAACTGAAAGGTTGGAAGTCTGAACCTACCAGCTGTTCCATGGAGAAGATGAGGCAGTCTGTTTCCATAAAGATTTATAGGCTCAGAAACCCTAAAGGCAGTCCTGTTGTGACCTATAGGGTCGCTTTGATGCTACAGAATCAACGCTACAGCAGTGGGTAATGACTACTTGAAGAGTCTATTAAAGGACCTATATATAGATCTAAAATAAACCAAGGCAGATCAAATAAAATGGGAGAGCAGCACTACACATTTTAATGTACGCCTATTATTTCTAGTTTAAGATCAGGAAAGGCGTGTATCGGGGTTGCATCTCTGTACCATACTTATTTAATCTGTATGCTGAGCTAGTAATCTGAGAAGCTGTATTATATGAAGAACACGGTATCAGGGTCAGAGGAAGACTCATTTACTTTTAATATGAAGATGACACAACCTTACTTGCTAAAAGTGAAGGGGGCATGAAGTGCTTAGCGATCAAAGATTACTACAGCATTCAGTATGATTATACACACTGTAAAGAAAACAAAAATTCTTGTAAGTGGCCCAATAAGCAATACAATAAATGTAGAAAATATTAAAGTTGTCAAGGATTTCCTTTTATTTGGATTCACAATCAACATCCACAGAAACAGCAGTCAAGAGATTAAATGACATATTGCATTGGTCAAATCTGCTGCAAAAGACCTCTTTCACATGCTCAAAAGCAAAGATGTCACTTTGAGAAATTAGGTGTGCCTTAAGTGCCATGGACTGCCAAAAGAACCAACAGATCTGTTTTGGAAGAAGTGTAGCCAGAGTGCTCCTTGGAGGACAAGATGGCCAATTTTTGTCTCTCATACTTCGGACATATTGTCAGGAGGGACCAGTCACTGAAGAAGGATATCATGTTTGGTAACGTGGAGGGTCAGAGAAAAAAAGGAAGACCCCCAGCGAGATGGATTGGCCAAGTGGCAACATCAATGGACTCAAGCATGGCAACAACTGTTAGACTGGCCCAGGACTGGGTAGTGTGTTTCAATCTGTTGTATGAGTCAGTACTGACTTGACAACGAACAACAACAATTCAAGCCATGGCATTTTCAATAGTCTCATATGCATGTGAAAGCAGACAACAAATAAGGAAGATTGAAGAATTACGGTCTTTGAACTATGGTATTGGTGCAGAATACTGAGTATATCAGACTGACAGAAGGACGAACAAATCTATGGAGAAAGTACAGCTAAAATGTTCCTTAGAAGTGAGGACCGTGAGACTTTGTCTTATGTACTTTGGTTGTGTTATTGGGAGGGATAAGTCCCTGGAGAAGGATATAATAGTTGGTAAAGTTGTTGTTGTTAAGTGCCGTCGAGTCGTTTCTGACGCATAGTGACCCTGTATAGGGTTTCCAAGGAGCAGCTGGTGAGCTTGAACCACTGACTTTGCAGTTGAAAAGACTTTGCATTCTGATGCATTAGCCCATAGAGCCACACCAGGGCTCCACACTTGGTAAAGTGTTGTTGTTAGGTGCCATTGAGTTCGTGCTGACCCATAGTGACCTTATGCGCAGCAGAATGAAACACTGCCCGATCCTGGGCCAACCTCACCACTGTTGCCACGCTTGAGTCCATCGATGCTGCCACTTGGCCAATCCATCTCGCTGGGGGGTTTTCCTCTGACCCTCAAACTTTCCAAACATGATATCCTTCTCCAGCAACTGGTCCCTCCTGACAATACGTCTGAAGTATGAGAGACGAAGTTTGGCCATCTTGGCCTCCAAGGAGCACTCTGCCTGCACTTCTTCCAAAACGGATCTATTGGTTCTTTTGGCAGCCCATGGCACTTCCAATATTCTCCTCCAACACCATAACTCAAAAGCATCAATAAGAAGACCCTCATCAAGATGAAGTGACACAGTGGCTGTGACAATAACTGTGATGACAGTGCAAACTGGGCAGTGTTTCACTCGGTTGTACATGGCCACTATGCATTAGAACCAACTAAATGGCACCTAACAACATCACATCATTTCTAGTCCCCTTGGAGATCTGTTAACTCAGGGTGAATATTTTTGGGTGACATGAGACAAAGTGATGAGGAAGCAGTAGCATTGGTATTTATGCCTGGGACAATATAAAAGGTACCAATGGAGTCCTGGGGTGGTGCTATAGGATATAAGCACTGGACTGCTAACCACAAGGTTGGCAGTTCAAACCCACCAGTCACTCCTCAGAAGTCCTATGTAGGATAGCTACGAATTGGAACCGACTTGATGGCATTGAGCAACAACAATAATGGTACCAAATACTAAATGATACTTTTGCAGTCTAAACTCTTTAAACCACTGGCAAAAATGATATTAACATGAAAGAATGCTAAGAAAGTCATGTTGACTTAGCTATTTCCTTCTTAAAATGACCTCTGCCTGGATACTGAGTGAATGGAACATAGGTCTCAGTTTTAGCCCTTCCTCTTCTTTTAAATATGCATTTACTGTAACTTATGGAGATTCTGACTTGGCGCAAGCTAGTAACCTTTAGTTCTCTATTTGTACAGTTGCGAAAGCTGGAACAGGTTTATGAAGAAGAAAGGTTTTTTCCCACTCATTTAATGTTTATTTCAGTTTACTATGCTGGATTATAGAAGAGGCAGCTGGCAGAGAAGCTCATTTAAGGCTTTAGTTTCTGTGTCTACTATGTGACTGACTGTGCAGTGGCACTGGTTGAATATTCAAAGGTGACTGACACTACCATGCACGGCTCCAAAACAAGCAGAAAGGTGCACTAGCTAGCAGAAGTGAAAGCTGGCTCACACAGACATGCATGCTTTGTGTTCAACAGCCGGCTTTCACTTTTCATTTTATAACGCAATTCTAAACCAATTTTTCTCTTAATGAATAAGCTGCAGGTGAAAAAGAACTAGGCTGTTGTATGTATCAACAGCCCATTCTTTTATTGCTGAGTAGTGTTCCATGGCATGGATGTGCCATAATTTGTTTAACCCTTCACCCACTGACAATCTGGGTTGTTTCCAGCTTTTGGCTATAGCAAATTTTTGTGTATAGGTAAGTCTTTCTTTCTCTGGGAGAAATGACCAGGAGTACAGTTGTGTGGTCGCTACATGTTCAGTTTTTTAAACTAAAAAAGAAATTGCTAGTGCGTTGCAGAGTGGCTGTAACATTTTACATTTCCCCCAGCAGTGTATGAGGGTACAGTTTTATGCATCCTTATAGCATTTGGTGTTGTCACTAATGTTTATTTGTGCCATTCTTACATACATGTAGTGGCTTTCGTTATGCCTTTTCCCTACTGGCTAATAATGATGTGACTTGTACAGTGATTTCTAACCAAGGTATAGTTGCACAAAACACAATCTCAATCTTAAAATGGTGCTAGTATTGTTTGTGACTAAAGGTATTACTTTAGCCTACGTCATGGGGTGCCAAAACGTTGTTAAGTACCATCCAGCTGGTTCTGGTTAATAGTGATCCTGTATAGGGTTTCTGAGGAGCAGCTGGTGGGTTTGAACCGCTGGCCTTGTAGTTCGCAGCCCAGTGCCTATCCTACTGTGCCTCACCAAGATTACAAAACATAAGCTTTAATATGTAGATCAATAAAAAAAACAAGCGAAACAGAAAAACAAAATCTTTTCAACTTGAAAAAAGCTGAAAGGCTTTGATCACTATGCAGCAAGCTCACACTAAATGAGTTCGGGTTATGACAGTTTTTTCCAACTACTGTAAACCTCATTTTCTACTTAATGTTCCAAATGAGAAGATAGTGTACCTCATTTCTCCCCCCAGTTTTAGCAATCAATTTTTTTGCACATAACAGATGCTGTTTTTCTTACATAGCATCTCACTGTGGCCCTCTACTGTTAAATCAAAAGATGGTTTTCTAGTCACTATTTTTTTTTAGTTTTCTAGACAATATTTCTAGTCACTGGGTTCACTATTCCCCAGTGATCAGTATTAATAAATATTGTTGTTCTGTGTTGTGGTAAGTAGCAAGGTACCATCGAGTTGGAATCGACTCAAGCGTAATGGGTATATGAATACCAAGGGCCCCACTACTGTCATGTTACTGCCATGTTATCCTTCTAATGTGCCCTGTTGGTTCCACAGGCTAAAGCAATGTACTGATTAGAATTTGGTCAAGTTGGGAGGCTGATTCTTCTGAGGGCTACTCAAATTCATAAGACTGCTAACCACAAGGCTGGTGGTTCAAACGTACCAGCTGCTTCTGGGAAACCCTATACAGGATCACAATTGAATTGGAACAGACTTGAGGCACTTAACAACAACTGCAGGCCCACACACCATTAAGGATCCTGGATGCACAAGGTCTACAGGAGAATGAACTACCTGAGTGTAGATTAGAGCTAATTCCTAACCATGACTAGTGATTAAATGTCTTACATGAGCACACTTGACAGGGGTCATGACTTTACCTTTATCTATTCACCTGAACATTTTAATCTCTTTATATGAATAATTTTGCTTTTGTTGTTTATTTTTGCATTCATATATACTTATTTATATAAATGGACTACATAGAATGTCTGTAAACAAAATCTATGCAAGTAAGTTAATATATTCAAATACGTGTCTACCTCTAACAACCCTAGTAAAGTCTCATAGAAACAGCGACAATTAGTTGGTGAATCTGAGTCCCCTTTATCATGTTAATATCTAATATTGCCTCTTGCAGGAAGGCATCTCTGACTTGGTTATAGGTCTAACTATAAAAGTCTATTGAAGAAAAATGAAAATACATTGTGATATTCAAGGCTCACCAGCCGCTCCTCAGAAACCCTACACAGGGTCGCTATGAGTCAGAACCAACTCGACGGCACTTAACAACAACAGTTATTACATATAATAGACTAAGCTTCATGAAGGCAAGACTTAATTATCTTGCTTATCATTCTATCTCTAGAATCTAGTACACTGCCTAGCATAAACTGGGTTTTCTATAATTCCTAATGAATAAACAAATGAAACCAAAGCTTTAAAACAAACCAAGAATTCTCCTGGAGAGATTATGAAATTCAGAATTTTTCTTTAGCAATATATTATTTACTGTTCTAAGACTACATGTCTTAATTCACTATTATTATCACCCCTATTTTAGAAAGGAGGAAACCAACGCATAAAGAGATTAAGTAGTTAGCACAAGGTCACACTGTTGGTAGAACAGGGACTTACACGCCATCTGATTCCAGACTATGTGAAAGGCAGATATAGAGGTTGTTATGAAATGCCACTTTGAAAACATACATTTAATCAGAAGACCTGAAAGATTTCAGTTCCTAGAGAAAAGGAACTTTGAAAGGACCCATCAGACATGAAAAAATTTGTAAAGATGCAGGAGGATAAACTTTTATAACATTTAGTATACAGTGCTTTCAAATATTAGAAATTTAGAAAAATATCTAAATTCAGGAAATCAAGATGAATTTTAAAATCTTTCTTTCATGTAAGACTAGACGCTAAACCTTTGATGGTATTGTATAATAAAAATGAAAAAGATGTCATTCTCTGCCAGCACTAATTCAGTTAAATTTTCATACTGAGAAATTATTACAGGGTATAAGTCTTTAAAATGTGCTGTTATCTTACCTTTTCTTTTTACTTATGATCATATCCATAGTTTGGAGAAGTCGTCGTTCCAGGGCTAGAATATCTGTCTCAGTCACGTTCCTATAAAATGCACAAACTGTTAGTAATACCTTAGGATTCCACTGTTTAACACAATGCCAGGCATATGGAATAACACAAAAACCTCAATTGTTACCAAGCCACTCAACGGTTGGTCTTTTTTAGAGAGCTGTAACATGACTATATTGAAACCCACCAAGCACTTCTTAAAAACCTTGTAGAGGGTTGCTATGAGTAGGAACCGACTCAGAGCTGGATTGACAGGGCAGCGCTCTATGGCACCTAACAAGACTAGGACTATAAAACTGTAAAGTGCGTAAGATGGACTGGCACAGTGACAGCAGCAACGGGTTCAAGCCTAATGACTGTGAGGATGACAGAGGATTTGGGCAGCGTTTCATTCTGTTCGATGGCACCAAACAACATGACTATAAATTAGCTAACGTGCTTTTGCTTTCATTTATAGTTAATATTTCTGGGGTCTCAGGGCATCGGAAGGTACTTTGCTATCTTATGACTTTCGTAACTTTGATTCAGTGACATTTAGGATGTATGCTTAAGTGCACTTTTTTCTTCACTATTTTTTACTGTTGGTGGATGGGTGGGTATAAGTAAGGAGTGAGGGTGAGGGCTAGGACTATATTTAGGTCTCAGCTAGGCCTAGGACTTTGTTTAGTGTTAGTGTTATGGTTAGGACTAGGGCTACTGTTAGGGGTAGGGGCTGGGCTAGGAGTAAGACTTAGTCTAGGTTTTCGTGTTACAGTTAGGTTAATGTTTACTTACTTATTTTCTTGAAACCTCTCTTTTTGAAGTTCTGTAATACATTATCTCCTATTTTTACTTTATGGTTTGTTTTTTGTTGTTGTTCAATCTTGTAGGTCTGTTTTACTTTGAATATTTGTGTATCTGGGTTGAGTTTAGGTCAGATTATCATATATGTTAACCTCAGATTGTTGTCTACTTTTGTTGGTTTTCTGTTCAAAGATCTCCTGTTTGTAAGGTTGGTCTATTTAAATTACAAATTCTTTTAATTTCCATTTACCTGAAAATCACATTTTATGGGCAATTTTGCTGGGTATAGCTTCTTGGTTGGCAATTTTTTTCTTTTCAGAGTTTTATATGTATCATCCCATTGTCTTGCCTGCATGATCTGCTGAGAAACCAGAGCTTAGTCTTATTAGTTTTCCTTTGTAAGTAACCTTTTGTTTTTCCTGAGCTGCTCCCAGGATTTTTTTGTCTTTGGTTTTGAAAAGTTTGATTATAACATGTCTTGGTGTTTTTCTTTTGAGGTCTATTCTGTTTGGAGTTCATTCAACTTCTTGAATGGCTACCATCCTGTTTTTCATGATGCTAGGAAAGTTTTATTCTAACAACTCTGGTTTTTATGTCTCTTCCTGTTCTAGAATTCCAAGCACATGAAAGTTATTTCTCTTGATTACTGTTGTTAAGTGTCGTCAAGTCTGTTTCAAACCATAGTGACCCTGTACAGGGTTTCCGAGGAACAGCTGATGAGCTTGAACCACTGACCTTGCAGTTCAAATAGCTTTGCAGTCCAGTGCATTAATGCACAACGCCATACCAGGACTCCTATTCCTCTTGCTGGTGTCCCACATAAATCTTAGGCTTTCTTCATTTTTTTTTGTTTTTTTATCTGATCGTTCTTTAGTTGTTACGTGCCTTCAAGTTTGTTCTGACTCATAGTGACCCTGTACAGGGTTTCCAAAGAGTAACTGGTACGTTTGAACTGCCAACCTTAGGGTTAGCAGTCTAGTGCTTATCTTATAGTGCCACACCAGTTCCTTTAGCAGATGAATATTGAGAGATTTGTCTTTAAGGTCAAGAATCTGGGCTTCCACTAATTTAATTCTACTTCTTTGCTCTTTTAGTGTATTATCTATTTCAGGTCTTAGTATTAATCTTACGGCTTTATAATTGTCATTTTTATATAGTTCTTGTTTTCTCATTTACTTTGTCAGTTTGTTTCCTAAAAACTCCCATAGTTTTGTCGTTTTTTTCTTGATTTTATCTGAAATTTTCTTGATCATTCTCGCAATCTGTTAAAGGTGTCGAAATAGTGTTTTTTTTACAATTCCTTATCACGTAATTCTGATACCATTTCTAGTACTGTATTTTCTGACTCTGTACCTTGGTCACTTGTTTGAGGCACTCTTGTCTTGTTTGTTCCTGTAAGCTGAAACTGTCTATTCTGAGACATTGTGGTGTTGTATTTATATTTAATTGATGATTATATATTGGTGTGTTTCAGGTACTCACCCATCTCCTAGAGTATGTGGTAGAAACTGGAAATGTGAATGTGGTTAGGGTTAGGGTTAGTCACGTACCTCAAGAAGCAGGGGTATTATGCCAGGTTCTCTCTCACTGCTCCTGCTCAGCACTTCTTTAGGAAGGTTGAGTCTAATCACATACACTAAATTTGAGGCTTCACAAGAGGGGTGCCACTGGCCGCTGGGTTGGTGAGGGTGGGGACTGGCCACACCACTATCAGGAGGGCATGAGAACAAGGGATAACTGAATGCCCTTGTCACCAACCTCCAGCTGTGTCCTGTGTCTGCAGACTGCTGTATCAACACCTGCTCTCTAGAGCCCAAGACGTTCACGCCACTCCAGGCCAGCTGACAGCCCACCTGTTTTTATTGTCTCTTACAGCTTGTTTACCTTCCTATTCTAGTTGGCACTCAGTCCACCTCTAAAGTATTCTCTGAAGTTCAAGGTTCCAGGATCACCATCTGCATGTTTCACTCAGTCTCTCCATGTCATTGCTGTTAGCGGGTCAGCTCAGTGTTATCTGCCTACTCTGCCATCTTACCCTGCAAGTCTCACTATTTTTTTATGATAAAAATATATACATAACAAAACATCTGACCGTTCAACAATTTTAGATTATTCCGCAACATCCATTATATTCTTCATGTTGTTTTAAGTACATGCTTAACTTCTTTGTTATTATTGTTCTGAAACAAAGCATAACACATGTATCTAGTTCTACAAAATATTTGCTGTTGTTAAGTGCCACTGAGTTGGTTCCAACCCAATTCAAAGTAACCCTGTATAGGGTTTCTGAGTAGGCACAGAAAGTCTCATCTTTCTCCTGCAGAGCAGCTGGTGGGTTCAAACTGCCAATCTGGTGGTTTCCAACCCAGTGTTTATCCTACAGAACCACTGTATTTCCTCTAACGGAATATAGCTGCTAGAAATCCACTATTACCTTACTTATTTATTTTTACCACTTTTCTATCATTCGTTTTATTTTTCAAAAATTGTATAGAGTAACAATCCAATCAATATTTATTCTCCTATTATTCTATATTACCCTAGAATAATAATCTCCTATAATTCTACTTTTGGAAGGAATTGATTGGCTAAAGTTGGGATTAATACACATTATTGTCTACTAGAAATGTGACTTTAAGAGTGCGCGTGTGTGTGTGTTTGGATTGGGAATTTGGACTGAAGTTTGACATTTAAGAAATAAATGAGAAAAAAAAAAAAGCAATAAACAAATATAGGACAAATGACAAAGGGAAACCAATATAAGTGATAAGAATCATTTAGGATAATTCCCAGGTCAGTGTTCAGAGGGATAGAGGAAGAAAATAATAAAAATGCCATAGATCTAATATTTAAATATTAATGATGCTAGGTATGATAATGGTACATGTACTCTAGATGGAATGGAAAAAAAGACGACAATCTCATTACCTGAGGAAGTAGGACATGTAAGTGTATGGGCAGTTGACAGCACCAAATCCAGAAAGAAGAGCCATCAGAGTCACTCCTATCACACCTACTCGGCTGATGAGCTGTTCTATGGACAAGATCCCTAAAAAACATCCAGGTTTATTAATGTTGAGTAATACAGACAAGCTGGTTTTCATCTGTACTGCAAAGGGAAACAACACTGAGAAAATCAACATTATATAAAACTAACTCAAACAATACTAATCTGCAATATGGATATGTAAATGATACAATCTTGCTTTTGGAAAGGGAAGAGGACTTAAAATACTTACTGATCATGATGAAACACCATACCCTTGGGTATGGGTTGCACCTCAATGTAAACAAAACAAAAATTCTCACAGGACCAATAAATAACATCCTTATAAATGGAGAAAAGATTGAAGTTGTCAAGGGCTTCATTTTGCTCTTATCAATTATCAACAATCATGAAAGCATCAATCAAGAAATCAAATGATGTACTACATTAGGCAAATCTGCTGCAAAAGACCTCTTTAAAGTGTTGAGGAGCAAACATGTCAGTTTGAGGACTACGGTGCGCCTGACCCAAATACTGGTATTTTCAATAACCTCATATGCATATGACAGTTGCACAATGAATAAGGAAGACCACAGATGGATTGGCCAAGTGGCAGCAACAATGGACTCAAGCGTGGCAACAGTAGTGAGGTTGGCCCAGGATTCAGCAGTGTTTCGTTGTCAACTGGAGGAAGACTTACTAACAACCTGCGATATGCAGATGATACAACCTTGCTTGCTGAAAGTAAAGAGGGCTTAAAACATTTACTGATGAAGATCAGAGAACACAGCCTTTGGTATGGATTACATCTCAATGTAAAGAAAACAAAAATCCTTACCACTGGACCAATATACATTTTTATCAATGGAGATAAGACTGAAGTTGTGAAGGACTTCATCCTTCTTGGATCAACTCTGAAAACTCAAGGAAGCAGCAGTCAAGAGATCAAATGACGCATTGCATTAGGCAAATCTGCTGCACAAGACCTTTTTAAAGTGTTGAAGAGCAAAGATGTCAGCTTGAGGACTAAGGTGTGCCTGACCCACGCCATGGTATTTTCAATAACCTCATATGCATGCGAAAGCTGGACAGTGAATAAGGAATACCGGAAAAGAAATGATGCTTTTGAGTTATGGTGTTGGAGGAGAATACTGAAAGTGTCATGGGCTGCCAAAAGAGCCAATAGATCCATTTTAGAAAAAGAGCAGCCAGAGTGCTCCTTGGAGGCCAAGATGGCCAAACTTTGTCTCTCATACTTCAGACATATTGTCAGGAGGAAGCAGTCATTAGAGAAGGATATCATGTTTGGTAAGGTGGAGGATCAGAGAAAAAGAGGAAGACCCCCAATGAGATGGATTGGCCAAGTGGCAGCATCGATGGACTCAAAAGCGTGGCCAACAGTAGTGAGTTTGGTTCAGGATCGGGCAGTGTTTCGTTCTGCTGTGCACAAGGTCGCTATGAGTTGGTACCGACTTGACGGCACCTAACAACAACATTGAAAATCAACTCAGTAGTTAAACTAAATACTGCCATTGATGTATTGGGGATAAATGTGAGAAAGCAATGTTTAATAACTCAGGGAGGTTAGAATCCAGAAAAACTGACTTTTAATTTGTTTCTACTTTCTATTTTCCAAAATATAATCAACTTCAGCTATGGCTAAACAGCAGAGTTGTCACTGAGGTATTCTGTCAGCTTTAAAATAGTCAAATACCTGTCTTCCCTGTGCCCACGCCTGAGCTGCCTGAAACTATCAAAGTTCATTATGATATTGTTGCTATTATAGATTTAGCTTCTAGTCTTAGCAGAGATCACAATGTTGTTGTTGTTAAGTGCTGTCCAGTTGGTTCCAAATCAAGATGGCGTCTGTCCAGTGCTAGGATTTTTATACTTGTGCTTTTATTCTGATTTCTCTTCCATTTACTCCAGAATCATGCATCTTCACCTGTTCTCACTTTTTTGTATCTTCCAATCTTTCCTTCTCTTCTTGTTTACTCCTTCAGTTTCAATATTTCTTAAGAAAAAGTCTGTCCTTAGGCTTTCAGTGTATCTCTGGTTAGCCATCCTTTTCTATTAACCTGTGCACCGACAGACTTATTGAAAGAAGTTTACACTTAACTGCCACCTCTACCGTAATTACCTCCCATTCACTCAACTGGCTGCAATCCAGCTTTTATCTTACTCTACTACACTGAATGAAATGGCTTTCAGTAATAATAGTAATGACAATATAATGTTGTTGTTAGGTGCTATTGAGTCAATTCCAACTCATAGAGACCTTACATACAACAGAATGAAACACTGCCCAGTCCTGTGCCATCCCCACAATTGTTGTGAAGCTTGAGGCCATTGCTGCTGCCACTGTGCCAATTCATCTCATTAGGGGTCTTCCTCTTTTTCACCTACCTTTTACTTCACCTACTATGATATCCTTCTCCAGGGACTGGTCCCTTGTGATATGTCTGAGAAGTATGAGAGACGAAGTCTCGCCATTCTGGCTCTCAAGGAGCATTCTGGTTGTACTTTTTCCAACACAGATTTGTTTCTTCTTCTAGCAGTCCATGGTACTTTTAATTTTTTTCTCCAACACCGTAACTCAAACGCATCAATTCTTCTCTGGTCTTCCTTACTTCCTGTCCAGATTTCCCATGCATGTGGAACTACTGAAAAAACCATGGCTTGGGTCAGCGCACTTTAGTCCTCTAACTGACATCTTTGCCTAATGCAGTATGTCATTTGTTTTTTTGACGGCTGCTTCTATGTGTGTTGGTTGATGGTGGATTCAAGCAAAATGAAGTCTTTGACAACGTCAATCTTTTCTCCATTTATCATGATGTTATTTATTGCTCCAGAGGTATAAGAATTTTTGTTTTCATTACATTGAGGTGCAATCAATACCCAAGGCTGTGGTCTTTGATCTCCATCAGTAAGTATTTTAAGATCTCTTAGTACCTTCAATCCTGATACCATGTTCTTCCTCATATAATCTAGCTTCTTGAATTATTTGCTCAGCATACAGATTGAATAAGTACCGTGGAAGAATACAAACCTGGTGCACACCTTTCCCAATTTTAAACCATTCAGTATCTATTAAATGTGCTGGAACCCTCATACTTTGTGGTTCATAACTAGTCATGATCCACACAGTTGAAAGCCTTGCATAGTCAGTAAATGGTACCCAATAGCAACATTATGTTGTTAAGTGCCCTTGAGTCTGTTCTGACTCATAGCAATCCTGTATAGGGTTTCAAGGAGCGACTGGTGGGTTTGAACTGCCTACCTTGAGGTTCAAATTGACCTTATCCTACAGTGCTACACTAGGAATTCAATGACAGTATAATGTTATTAAGTGCCATCGAGTCAATTCTGACTCAGTGACTCTGTATATTGTTGTTGTTATGTGTTGTGGAGTCGGTTCCGACTCATAGTGACCTTGTAAAGGGTTTCCGAGGCTGTACATCTTTACAGGAGCAGAAAGCCTCATCTTTCTCCAGTGGAACAGCTGGTAGTTTTGAACTGCTGACCTTACGGTTCACAGCCCGATTCGTAACCACTATACTACCAGAGCGCCTTCATTAAGTATCTTCTTTTCTGGTTTAAACTACTCGTAGATATTATTGTCATACGTCAGCATTTCTATGACACAAAGGTTAGTCATCATTATTCCTGTTTGTTGTCCTGTCGATTCTGACACAGAGCGATCCATGTGTGCAGAGTAGAACTGCTCCACAGGGTTCTCAAGGGTGTGACCTTTCAGAAGCAGATTGCCAAGACTGTCTTCCGAGGCTTCTCAGGGGGCTTTGAATTGTCAACTTTTTTGGCTAGTGGTGGTGGTGGTGATATGCTGTGGAGTCGGTTCTGATTCCTAGAGACCCTGTACAGGGTTTCCGAGGCTGTAAATCTTTACGGGAGCAGAAAGCCTCATCTTTCTTTCGCGGAATTGCTGGTAGTTTAGAACTGCTGACCCTTAGGGTAGCAGCCCAATTCGTAACCACTATGCTACCAGAGCTCCTTTTTGGCTAGTAGTCAAGAATTAACCATTTGTACTATCCAGTGACTCTACTGTTCCTACATACCAGTTAATTGGAAGGTCAAATGGATGAGCTGACTTGCAGAATACTATCTTATGTTATGCACTGGCTCACAGAGTCCTTCTAGTCTTATATATAGGCTTGGCCTCTCTTACTCTTTGCCACTATGTAATGTCTTCCACTTTGTGCAGTCAGACACTGTGTGTGGATTATCCAAAAGGGCGGCAAAAGTTTATGGAAAAATGGAATTAAAGGCTAATGGAATTTTCCCATGAACTTCTTGAAGCCCCCTTGTATTTATAGACTTTTATTTAAAACTCTCTCTCTAGCTCTTCCCCTCCGCATCCTCTTTAGAATATTCCCACAGAATCTAGAAAAGGAGATGGATGTCAGGTACAATACATGGCATGGCCTTTAGCTTCTCTGTGGCATGGTCTGGTGTGCTGGCTGTTCATAAGGAGAAAGTTGGAGAACAGGTCACAGTCAGGTTTTAGGACACCATGTAATTTTATACTATCATTGACAGAAGCTCAGGTGGGCTCTTTTTATCTTATTCTACCTCATTTATAACATCACAAACAAACTTGTCTCTATGGGCTTATTATGAAATAGGTTTATATGAGAGTTACAATATCAGGGAGCTCTCTACTGCAAATCTTTCCCTATGGGCATGCTGACATATTAGAAAGAACAGAATGTTTCCTACTACTACTTCCTCCTCTTTGTTATACATCTTCTACTTTTATAGCTGTGACCAATTGCAGTTCATCATGATAACAATTACTCACTATCGAATCAAAAGAATCCTATCCCAATCTCTTTTCACCATACCCATGCACACAAGATAAAAACTATTTAGTGGGGAATTTTACCTTCCCCACCTCGCTCTGAAACTTAACTCCCTCTTGAAAACTTGTAAGTCAGCCACTACGTGCCTTTATAGTCCCAACTCCAGCCCCATATTAGGTAGACAATGTCTCAGCTGCCTGTCCCTATCCACCCTGTGTACTGAGGGGATAGGTTTGATTCTTGATGTAAACACTCCTTCCCTCTCAGTTGGTATTTTGAACAACTACATAAGTATAGGTCAAGTTCACCAAATTGTAGCAATTTACACTTGCTTCCTGTATCAAACTTCTTTATTGTCTTCTAGTCAAGTTCTGATCATCAAGACACTGAAGTTAGGTCAAAAGGGTGCTATCTGCAAGTTTGGGCATTCTTCCTATCAGCTGGACGCTTTACTCTCAGCTCTAGTCCCCAGTGGCTAGGTCAGTGTTCATGAAGCCCAGTCTTTTTTATAATTTTGAGTTTTGTTCCACATTGTCTCCCACTCTATCTGGAACCTTCTAATGTGATCTTTTTCAGAGCAGTTGGTAGCGATAGCCGGGCTGGTGCTTCTGGTCTCAGAGTCATGGAGACTGATGTATGTGTATACCATTAGTCCATGGACTAATTGATCCCAATCACCTTCAATTTTCACCACTCTTCTTTCTTCCTTCCTCACATGGGGAGATGCATAATTGTACCTTACGTGGCTGCTCATGAGTTTTTAAGATCCTAGGTGCTACTCACCAAAGTAGGAGGTAGAACATTGTCTTTGCGGGCTGTGTAACGTCAGTTGACTATGGTGTCCCCAAGACTTCAGTCCTGAGACTCTACCTACCTTAAATTTCTTGATCTTATTTAATACCTTAGAGACTAACACTTAAGGTTATTTACTGATAATGTGCCAGGTTCCACACTAGAGACTAGGCATACAAAGTTATAGGTGATAAATATGTATCCGGGTGGAAGTAATTAATACTGTCTAATAAAGCTGTCCTGGTGTGGTGCTACAGGATAAGCAATGAACTGCTAACCACAAGCTCATCAGTTCAAACCGACTAGCCACTCATTGGAAATCCTATACAGGGCTGCTAAGAGTCGGAACTGACTTGACAGCACTTAACAACAATGATGGCCACAGGAGTCCTGGTGGTACAGTGGTTAAAGTACTCAGCTGCTAACTGAATGGTTGGTGGTTCAAACCCACCAGCAGCACCAAGAGGGAAAGCTATTATAGCCTTGAAAACCCTGTGAGGCAGTTTTACTCTGTCTTATAGGATAACGCTATGAGTTGAAATTGACTTGACAGCAATGAGTTTGGCTTTAAGGTCCTTGGGTGGCTCAAATAGTTTGTGCTCATCTATAGTTTGTTTGTGACAGGCTGCTAACCTCAAAGGTTAGCTGTTCAAACCCACCCACTGGCTCTGTGGAGGAATGGCCTGGTGAACTGCTTTCATAAAGATTACAGCCAAGCAAACCATATGGAACAGTTCCACTCTGTAACACTTGAGGTCACCATGAGTTGGAACTGACTCATTGGCAACTAAAACAATAGGAGATGGATTCACTTAAAATTCATTCGAATCACCCTCTGGCATCTTTTCGTACTAGGCTGTAAACTAAAAGCCACCCTTTCCAGACTTACTTGCAGCTATGGTTGTGAATGTTACCTGGTTTCATGACAACTGACATGAGACCTAAAAGATCAAAGTAAACAATGCAGGGTGGTAACAGCACCTGGGAGCTGGTCAGTTTGAATTGCTGACCTTGTGGTTAACAGTGTATTTTCCTAAAATTCACTCCCATAAACATCACTTGAGCAGTGGTCATCCACCTTTTGGGTCACAGATCCCTGTGAGAATCTGATGAAAGCATATGGCTATCTCATCCCCAGAGTCCTGGTATGGCACTACAAAGTCAGCGGTTCAAAGCTACCAGCCACTCTTCAGAAACCCGGCATGACCTGAGGGCACTTAACAACAAAAAAATCTCACCCCTAATCTATTCACATTATTCAGTATACAAAATCTATAGGTTTAAGGCCATAATCACTCCCTCCCCAACCTTATTTTCTTGGAATTTATTCACTAATACAAGGTCAACAAGTCTTGCTCTAGAACAAATTTTGATATCTCCTAGATGAGGGAGAATTTTAATTGTAAAACAAAAGTTTTAGAGAAATAACACTGTTTAGGGAAATAACCCACAATCAGATATTTTAATAAAATGTTTTCAACATTAGAAAGCTAAATACTCACCCCCACCCTCTGCCATACACTTACCATGTTTTGGGCTGAGAATGGGAAATGGATCTCCTAGTTTCCAGAAGAAATACATGAAGGTCAACCATAAGACACATGAAAAAAGCACTCGCTGTTTATGCACTAAGACAGAGGAGACAAGACTCGTTAGGGAAAATGGACATGCAGGTATGTGAAAGAGCTTGCTCTACTTATAAATACTGTTAAGTGCCAATGAGTCAATTCCAACTCATAATGACCCTGTATAGGGCTTCTGTGGAGTGACTGGTGGATTTGAACTGCAGATCTTGCAGTTAGCAGTTCAGTACTTACCCTACAGTGCCACTCCAAGACCCCATGCTAATTAATATTTGAGTAGCTTGTTCACTTGTCAAATACATAATGAGACACACAATTTTTAGTGAAAGCATGTTTATCACCATAGCGAAATTTGACTGAAATGGAGATGTGGGCTGAATTACGAGACATATAAGGTGGCAGAAACAGAAGAAAGCTGTAGTAGGACAACTGATCCAATAAGTCATTCAATAAGTATTTGTGTGTCAACCGTTTTACGATGCTGTGTGTAAGCTGCCTAGAAATAGCAGCAGCTACTGAAAGTAATGTAGAAATGAAGCTCTCCACACCACAATCCCCTCAAATACACATCTCAATCTATGCACTGACATGAGAACGTAAAATACTCACACAGTCGGATGTTGCTGACAACAAAGTAACTGATGTAAAAAGGCACCAGGAAAACCAAGATCAGCAGAATTACACACAGGTTCATTTTCCAGTGAAAATAGCGAGAGCTGCAATTCAAGTTAAAGAACCATTATTGGGCTGCGGAGAAGGCAACACTTTAAATCTCTTAAGTATCCCAAAGCACCCTCAATTCTGTGAACTAATGCTGAATATATTTTATCCAACTAGTCAGTTCATTTATAGACATTAAAAAAATAGATAAAAAGATAAATGTGACCACTTTAGTCTCCCAACAACATCACTCACTAAAATGAGAATGCTAATGCTTTAGCTCTAAGCATAGACACGGTAGACCATGACATGATCAACACGTATGAGGGAGCTTCAAAAAGTTCATGAAAAACTTCAATGAAAAGATTGCTTCCCTTCTCTGCTAGGAGTCTTATTCCAACATAAGAATTCAAGCAAGAATCAGTTGGAGAGATTATCCAATAAACTAACAAATCTTATATTTGGAGGGATAAGAAGTTGCTTTTAAAAAAACACTGTATGTTCAATCGAGACTCGACCATACTTGTAAAATCACCACTGATAACCAAACCAGCAAGAATTAGAGCTCAGTTAAACAGTTACATAGTACTGAGCATAAAATTTGAGTCTTTTCAGGTAGAGATTTTCAATTAACAGGAAATGAAGGACCAGCACTGGAATTCAGTAAGAGTCGAGGGGAAATATAAGGCTACTAGGAGTGAATACATTCCATCTAATTAGTCAACTTTTTCTTCCTGCTGTCTCACAATCTTTGTCAAATCAGTTACTAAGGTGGTTGGGACTCATATTTGCTATGCTCATTGTGGTAATGGAGATTAAACTAACCACATAGTAAATTTTTTCAGCTAAGAGACCAAGTAACTTTTCCACTAAAGAAATTAACACGGTTCTCTTCAAGAGGAGAGGTATAATGTACCCATACACACCTGCTATTCAACACTCCTAAGATCTCAAAGATGATGAGCTCGAACATGGTGCAAGAAAATGCAAACGTCACAGAGAAGATCACCTGCACAACATACTGACGCACCTGTTAAAGGCCAAACAAAGATGAAGAGTCATGTCCTTGTTTTAAATATTAAACTGATAATCACTTTCTGGTTATGAGTCAGAAAACGAATTCTGAAGAAACTCTTAGGTCACTGGGACTAGGGCTGTGGCCACAACTTGCCCAGAACTAGTCATAAATCAAAGTTAGGTGGCTCTACTGAACTTTTAAAAAACACAACGTATATATATGTACATATATATATATTAATCTTTCTATAAATGCTACATCACTATATAATCCAAACTGTATCAGTGAATCAAGGGTCACTACTGCCCACATCCTCCTAGGGATGAAGAATTTGAAGCACAAGAAGATGAAGCAGAAGCAGTACTTAGAATTTCTGGCACACATTAATAAACAATGACAAATGAAAGCATATATGAGGAGGCTTCAAAAAGTTTGTAGGAGAATGGAATGAAAAGATAATGGGACTGTACAGAAACAATCTGAAGTTTCCTCATAGAATGGATAATAGTAAAAGAGGTTCTTCAACACTCTGCAGACTTTTAGATCAGTTCTGGAACCTCTCCTGGGCGGCCTTAAGGAATCTGGGCTCTTTTGGACCACAATCCAAATTCTTGGGTGGGGTTAAATGGTGAACATCCTAGAAATGATCCAAAGGAAGTTTGTACTTATTACCAAAAGAGGAGGATTAAGAACTGCCCAGCCTATCTGATATAATTTGATGAACTTGACCTATACCTATGGATGCAGTAGCTCAAAGGAGGAAACAAATACCTACTGCAAGAATCATTCCCACCCCCTCCACACAAAGACTACACAGGGATGGGCAACTTGGACATTGGCTACCCAAAATGGGGGAGCTACAAAGGCAGGAAGTGACTGGCTTACAAGCTTTCAAGAGGGAACCTAGATCCACAGGGCATGGAGGAAGGTAGAGTCTCCAATGAGTAGTATCTAACCTGTCTAGAAAGGGCTGATGAAAAGAAATGCAGATGGGTCTCTTGGGATGCAATAGTGAATAATTGTTATCAGGACCGATTGGGAGGGTTGGAAATGTAAAGGTGGACATTTTATAGCAAGAAGGGGAGTGATTAACTTTTCAGTCTAGGAGCGGAGGGCCCTGGGACCATCAATGGAGAAGAGCAGAGAGCGGTGTTGTCTGAGATGGAGACAGAGACGATGATGCAGAGAGATGTAGCAGCTGGGGACTATAGATCCAGAGGGGGAAAGGAGCTATGTGCTGATAACCGGGGGGTGGTAGGGGGTGGGGGTAGGGCAGGCTTGCAGGTTATACCATTTGGTTGGTTGATGATGCATGGACGGGATTGTAACTATGGCAATGAAACGATATATGATGGAATGAATGTAAAACTAATGGTCCCCCATGTAAACGATCACATAATTCACAATAAAACATTAAAAAAAAAAAAAAAAGAACCGTCCAGCCTAGGGTGGTGTTTTTCTGAATCCAAGGCATAAGATAAGAACCAGACTAACCTTTACATTTTGATATTAACATATTATAAAATAAAATTAATTATTTGACAAAGAATAACTTCCTGGGTTTATACTTTGGTGCCTATATTGACATGACTAAGATATTTCCTTGCTGCTGGAACTCATGACTTGTCTTTTTGAAAAAAACAAAACAAAACAAAACAAAAAACCAAACAAGTAAGCTGAATTCTATTCTTCAGTTTAAGAATTGTGTAGTACTATTTTGGCAAAGACTCCTTATCTTCAATGGATAGAGTCTAGCTTTAGTGGAGGCAACCGTCTCCCATCATTTTTAAACAATGTGAATTTATAAAGTCTTAGCAAAACCCAAACAATCCTTACCTCATAGTCCTTAAACAATTGGCGCATGAAGAAAAGCCACCCAAATCCAAAGAAAAATATCTGGAAGAGAAAGAAGACAGAATGTCAACATAGATTTTCTTGTGAGAAATGCCTTATAAAGTCTATTTTATGCTAAAAGGTCTGTTTACTTAGAGACTGTTAACTTATTTCAGAGATTAAAGACAAACTCCACTTACATAAGGCCTACTTATAAAAATCCGTAATTATTGGGAGTCGATATTGAAACGTTCTTATATTTTTGAAATTGGAAGTGCAAACCCTTGAGCATGATTTAGCATAGACTGATGCTGTACGATAAGCACTGAACTGCTAACCACAAGGTCAGCAGTTCAATCCCAATAGTAGCTTATTGGAAACCCTATATAGGGGTCACTATGAGTCAGAACCAACTTGATGGCACATAACAACTCTAATCTTTGGGAAAAAATTTTTTTTTATTGTGAATTGAGTGAAGGTTTACAGAGCAGATCATCAGCTTTACATTCAACTAGTCATATATATACACTTTGCTTCATTACATGCTTGCAATTCCCTTCATGTACCAACAGTTAACAGTATTTACCTCTATTCACCTTTACTGCATTCCTCCTTGTGTCTCAGGCTACCTTCATCTTTCCTCTGCTAACCTTGCTCTTTTGTATATTTCCTACTGTCACCCATGTTAACATGTGTATATCCTCTAGCCTGTGAATAATCCTCCACTTTCATCCCCCCACCCCCATAACCATCATAGATAGTTTCATTAAGAAAATCTTTTCACTTTTTATAACTTTGGTCTCAGACAATATTTGTCCTTTTGTGATTGTTTAATTTCACTCAGCATCATGTCCTCCAGGCTCATTCATGTTGTGAGGGGTTTCACAGATTCATCATTATCCAGTTTATTGTAGTATCCCATGGTACATATGTACTAAAGTTTAACCATTCTTCTGTTGATAGGCATTTATGCTGTCTCCATTTTTTTGATATGTCTCTTGTATATAGCATATTGAAAGAGCCTGTTTTCTTATTCATTCCGCTCTGTTTCTTTTTTTTTTTGAGAAAAGCCAGCATAAAGCACTTTTATTGCAATAATAAAACTTGAAATTCTTATGTGGTGCAGAAGATGGGAGGAGGAGTGGGGCAGCAGCAACTTCTCTCACCAAATCACTACACAGGACAGCAAAGGGGTAAGAGGGGGAAGGAAAAAGCCAGGAAACCGTTGAGATCAGCAGGGGGAGCTGAGCATCAAAAAACAGGAGATGCTGAAGCTGCGATGACCAGCATCATTTTCTTAGCGAACACGCAAGGATTTGTCATGATGGCTGGGCTTTCGTTGGGTGTTAAGTGTCTACAAACAGCACCTTCAATTTAAACTTTCAACTAAAGTTCTTAAAATTTAAGAAGTGGTGGATTTTTGATAGTTACGAAAATTACAAAAGTCCTGAAAATGTTAGAAAAAACATAGGATGGCCAAAAAAAAAAAAGGCAAACCAGGCCATAAAGAAGGCTTCAAGAGGTCCATGCTGGCCCATGGTGTCCAACACCACAGTGGAAACCACCTGCTTTCGAAAGGCAGAAAGTTTAAGGGGAAGGTGAGTGAGGCCAGGGGAGGCAAAGGTGCTCCGATTCCCCACTTCAGTTTGGAGTAGGGCTTTGAATTCAACCCAAGGACATTTCTCAACGTGGAGAAAAAAATCATCCTTCAATGCCTCACATCTGCTATGGCTTTGCAGCGCAGCAGCACGAATGTTTAATATATAATAAAAGTTTCATCCAAAAAAATAAGATAAAATAAAGTTTCTTGTACCCTCCTCCCACCCCACACCAATCCCTAAAGTTCACCCATTGTGCTGTTAATACTGGATCATATACTTAACTGAAAACCTAGATCCAAAAGACTGAAACTGAATCTTCACCCCAAAACCAGAACGAAATAAAATAAGTAACTGAGGTGGGTGGCATATAGTTTAAGTCACTTACATACAAGGAAAAAGGGGAAGAGAAAATGGAGGTGTCAGAAGCAAAGCTGAGTGACATAACACATTCAATCAGGGTTGATGTTTATAGAAAGAGTGTAGTTGAACGTCGGGAAAAGCTCCATACGGAGTCACGTGCGCGTGTCTGGAGGCGCCAGATCCCTCTGTGGCAGATCCAAGAACAGGTAGCTAGGGGAGGAGGCCATTCCTGTCATTCCAGTTTTAGAAGCTCCACATCAAAGATGAGAGTGGCGTTTGGTGGGATGATGCCTGGGTGTCCAGTGGCACCGTAAGCATAGTCTGAGGAGATGGTCAGTTTGGCTCTTTGACCCACGCTCATCTGGGCAACCCCTTCTTCCCAGCCTCGGATCACCTCCTGCTTGCGTAGCATAAACTTAAAGGGCTTGTTTCTGTCCCAGGAGGAATCAAATTTCTTTCCATCTTCAAGCATCCCCGTGTAGTGCACCACGCAGGTCTGGCGGCTTCGGAAGGTGCGCCCGTCTCCGGGGTAGATGGTCTCCACCTGCACTCCCATGGCGGTGGCTGACGCTGGGCGGACGGTGTGGACCAAGAGCAGACCTGGCTGCGACTCTCCGCTCTGTTTCTTGATTCCATTTACATCCAGTATAATCATCAATAGGTATGAATTGGCTGCTGTCATTTTTCTGTGTGTGGTGCTGTTGCACTCTTTGTTCCACATAATTTTTTGATCTCATTTTGCTTGTGGGATTTCTTTTCAATTACATTTCTGTTGTGCTAACGGAGTCTTGGTGTGGCACTGTGGTTAATGCGCTAGACTGCAAAGTCGGTTTAAACTACAAGGTCACCGGTTCAAACTCACCAGCTGCTCCTCGGAAACCCTATACAGGGTTGTTATGGGTTGGAACTGACTCAACGGCATTTGACAACAACAATGTTTACTAAATCGTGATTTTCCTTTGTTTATTATGATAAATATTATTTGAAGGTGTATTATTTGTCTTTGAGGTTACCCTGCAATTTATGAATTTTTTCCCTGCTTAAAACATTATTTTATCTTTAAATTTACTTGACTTCCTTGCCATTTTAAAGTTCTGTATCTGCACCATTCCCTCTTTTTGCTTTGTAGTTGACTTCATTATACATTGATATCTTTGGTTCTCTGTTTTCAGTCTTGGAGGTTTTATTTAACTTAAAAAACTTCTATATTTGGATTGCCCTCTGGGTGGTGGTATCATGTATGGTAATCTCAGGCTGCTATCTGCTGTTGTTGAATCTCAGCCAAAGAACACACCCTTTAGTATTTTTTGTTAAGCTAGTCTAGTTATTATGAATTCCTTTAATTTCTATTTATCTGGAAAAATCCAAATTTTACCATCGGATTTAAGGGACAACTTTGCTGGTTATATGATTCTTGGTTGGTAATTTTTTTCATTCAGAGTTTTGTGTATGCCATCTCATTGCCTTCTTGCCTTCCTGGCTTCTGCTGAGAAATCAGAGCTTAGTTTTATTGATTGTCCTTAGTAGGTAACTATTTGTTTTTCCCAAGCTGCTGGCAGGATTCTTTCCTTGTCTTTGGTTTTTGAAAGTTTCATTAGGACATGTCTTGGTGATTTTCTTTTGGGATCTGCCGTTTGGGGTTCGTTCAGTTTCTTGTATGCTTATCTTTTTGTCTTTCATGATGCTAAGGACATTTTCTTCCAACAGCTGTCGGACAATTGTCTCTTCCTGTTCTGGTATTCCAATCACCTGTAAGTTGTTCTTCTTCATGGCATCCCACATAACTCTTAGCTTCCTTCAGATTTTTTCATTCTTTTTTCTGATTGTCTTTCTAATATACTAGTATTGAGAGATTTATCTTCAAGTTTACTAATTCGGACTTCCATTGCTTCGAATCCTCTCCTTTACCCTTTCAATGTATTGTCCATTTCTGAAAACTTAGTATTAATCTTCTGGATTTCTAACTGCAGGTTTTGTATTATTTCAAAATTTGCATTTATTTTGTCTGCTTGTTCTTGAAGAGTTTTCAGGAATTCTTCTTAAGTTTTTTCTGAGTTCTCCTTGCTTTTTTTAATCTTTCTGTAAAGCCATTGAAGGTTCCAAAATATTATGTTGACAAATTTCCTTCTATTGCTATTTTGCTGAGTAATTTTTTTTTTTTAATTATGAAAGGGTGTTTTATTTTGTCAAATCCTTTTTCTACATCAATTGAGAAGATGTGAGGACCCCCCACAATCCAAGGAATGCCCTAGACTACCTATAAGGAAGGAATTAGCATGGCTGAGACCGGGACTTGGGACTCTAGAACTCTGGGAAAACAAATTTCTGTTCTCTAAAGCCACCACCTACTTTTGGTATTTCTGTTATAAGAACTATGACAAGGAACATAAGGAAAGCAGTTTGAAGTGTGAGGTAGAGGCAGGAACCAGACTGTGCTGGGTTGGGATGAATGGGAGGTAAAGCAGTAGAGACAATAAGCACAAATCACTCTACAATGAGAAGGAGAGAAAACATAAGGCAGTAGACTAGAGAAGCAGGGTACAGGGAGGTTTTTTTCCTGAAATGGGAAAACATTTGCTGTGCTTAAAGGCCAAAGGGAAAAAAGCAGTAGAGAGATAAACAAGTACGTGAGGGAACTGATGGACCACCCTGGAAGATTAGTTACTGATGTTATTAATTTATTATTATTGTTAGCTGTTGTTGTTAGGTGTCATCGAGTCGGTACTGACTCATAGTGACCCTATGCACAGCAGAATGAAACACTGCCCAGTCCTGGGCCAACCTCACAATTGTTGTCACGCTTGAGCCCATTGATGCTGCCACTCTGTCAATCTATTTCACTGGGGGGAGGGGGTCTTCCTCTTTTTCTCTGACCCTCCACCTTATTGTTGTTGTAAAGTGCCGTTGAGTCAATTCCGACCCATAGCAACCCTGTATAGGGTTTCCAAGGAGCGGCTGGTTAGCTTGAACTGCCAACCTTGCAGTTCGAAGGGCTTTGCAGTCTGCCACATTAACCCACAGCGTCACACCAGGACTCTTTGCAAACATGATATCCTTCTCCAGTGACCAGTCCCTCCTGACAATATGTCCAAAGTATGA